CCTCAAAAAATGGGTTCCTTTCACTAACCATACTTTTCTGGTCTTTAAAATAGAGAGAGCCTTAGAAAGAAAATATGCGCATTTGTGTGTGCGTGCGTGCAAGCGTGCATGTGTGTGTGTGTGTGTGTGTGTATCTCATGTGTCTCCCAGAAGCTCCTGGGGGTAAGTAGAAAAATTAATTAGCACTAGGATGAAAGGTGTTCTGGCATAATTGCAGGTAATATCAGGACAGCCAGGAGGGTGAGGCAAGAGGCTTCTAGATGTCCTGGGGACAGGATAGCCCCCAGCCCTACTCCTGCAAAGCAGATCAGACACCTGGAGAGAGGGGGGAGGGAGAATTCTGAGTGAAGGGTCTTTGTCTTTACAGGGAAACGCTTGTTAGTTGCTAAGGAACTGGGTTGTCTTTCCTGATCCAAGCCTTCCAATGTTTTGCTTAGCTTGGGAGGGGATGCTGGGCTGAGGCTTGAGGCTCCCTTGGCAGTTTGTCCTTTCCCTGGGGCTGCGGAGCCTCTGATGGGTCCCTGGGGAAGGACTCTCTTCTGGGAGAGATGCTTCCTTCCCAATACCTAAGCCTCACTGCTTGCTCCAGCCAAGCTGAGAACAGGTGAGGTGGAGGTAGGGAAAGAGAGGAACATGCACATTTACTGAACAGCCTGCACACCAGGCATTGTGCTCAGATGCCTTCCCTGCTATCTCATTTAACCATTGCAACACATCTTTGGAGGAAAGCATTTATTTCCATTTATTTTTCATTATACTGTTTTTTCTTTTTCTTTTCTTTCTTTCTTTCTTTTTTTTTTTTTTTTTTGTGGTTGAAACATAGGTCCGGAGCAGTTGCCAAGGTCATGGAGCTATCAATGGTAAAAATTCTATGTGAATTTAGATCTGCTCAGTAAGAAAACTTGTGTTTTTAAATGGCATAACTGAATGCATGTACTACGCTTTCTTATTATCCCATGGCTGCTGAACTTTGACACCTGGACCCATTGCTGTCATCATGATCATCACCATCACCTCATCACCACCATCACCATCACCCATCACCATGATCATCATCATCACCATCACCATCATCCTCACCATCACCATCACCATCACCATGATCATCATTGCCATCACCGTCATCCTCACCATCACTGTCACCTTATCATCACCATCACCGTCACCTTATCATCACCATCACCATGACCATCATCATCACCATGACCATCACCTCATCATCACCATCACCATCAACAGCATCATCATCACCATCATCTTAACATCACCATCACCATCACCATGATCACCATCACCATCATCATCATCATCATTATCACCATCACCATGATCATCATCACCATCACTATCACCTTATCATCACCATCATCACCAACATCATCATCACCATCACCATGATCATCATCATCACCATCACTATCACCTTATCACCATCACCATCATCATCATCACCATCATCACCATCACTATCACCTTATCATCACCATCACCATCACCATGATCATAATCACCATCACCATCACCACGGCCATCATCACCATCACCATGATCATCACCATCACTATCACCCATCACCATGATCATCATCATCACCATCATCATCACTGTCACCATCATCAGCATCATCACCATCACCATGATCATCACCATCAGCATCATCACTATCATCAGCATCATTATCATCACCATCACCATGATCATCACCATCACCATCACCATCATCAGCATCATCACCAATCACCGTCATCATCACCATCATCATCAACCTGGAGCCTTCCTAGGTGGCTTTTCCTTCTTTTCTACCTTTCTTCCTTACCTAAAAGCAGTTATCACATATGAATGATGGGGAGGGAGAGGGGTAATTAAATGCATTAAGGATGGTAAACTGTTGGGGTAGTGACCTTGGGCAGGTGGGGAGGGATGGTAATGGCCTTGGGCTGGGCCAGCTGTTGCCTTGAGTATCCAGGAACCCTGGCCATCCCCACAAATCACACATGGTCCAGGATGGCTTAACTTGGAGTAAAGAAAGACACTTGGAGAAGAGTCCTCTTAATTTCTTCTGGAACTTCTGGCCCTCTCTCTTTGGCCCAATCCAGATCCTGATCTGGCTTTTATCTTATATAGCCCAGAGAGGACAGTTTACCTCTAAATACTTCACCTGAGGAGGCTTTAGTTAACACCAGATTCCACCATGACTAGTTACGGAACAGGGACCCCTGTTCCATAATAACTCAACTGATGGGACTGTCAGTTTCCTCATCTCTAAAATAAGAATAACACCCACTTTATTAGGGTGTTGTGACAATCAAATGAGAGAACACGTATGAAGGTCCCCAGAAGGCCTTGAAGTAGCATGGGGATGTATTCAGTGAGACACTGCACATTAGACATTTTGTGCAGTACCTGGTATGCAGGAAGTGTTCAATAAATGCATCTGATTACAATGATGATAATAATGTCAATCTCTTTACCCTTGTAAAGGGGTCGCTGATGTTCCCTTACATTTTTCTTAGCTGCTTCATTAGAAATCTCAAAGGAATTTAGACGTCCATCTTTTTCCTTCCTAAAGAAGGTGGTGCAAAGGAAAGGGATGAGAGACCCAAAGGGTTCTGCAGGCAGAAAGCACCGTCAAAGCCTGGGTTTCCCTCTCCACAACCGGGACCTCCTTCTCTGTGGTTTCCAGGGATCGCCTGGTCAGGGCTGGCTTCAACCTAGAGCCTGGGCCAGCTTCATTCTTTTTTCACATTTTGGGGCCAGGAGGGTGGGGGTCTCTCCAGCAGCTGAACTCAAAGCCCAAAACATCAAGTCAAAAGGAAGGAGAGGGTTGGGAGAAGGAAAGCAAGCAAGCCGATAATTTCCTCGAAGGATAAACATCCGATTTTTTTTCCTCACCCAAAATAAACAGGCTGGCCACAATGAATTAAAAGCAGAAGAGGGGAGGATGTGTCTCGATTTGGGGCTGCTCTAGGAAGCTGACCTTCTATTTATCCTGGCCCTGGGCACCAACCGGAGCTGCCAATTACATTCTGAGCCTGTTAGGGTGGGGGCTGTGGGGAGAAGGTCTCAGGGAGAAGGGGACCCAGAAAGTACCTTGTGGGGCTGCCTTCCATGGCACTGCAGATGGATACTTCCCTTTGCTTCTTATTTTAGGTCTGTTTGCAGGCTTGCCTGACGGGGGTAGAAGGAAGTGGGGAGGCTCCACAATTTCTACTGTACAGGCTTCCTTTTGCCTTGGGCTGGCATCAAATGGCCTCTGGGGGCACCAGAATGTGGTGCCCATTTCCTGGGCACAGAGCTGAATCTATCAATGAAGGGGGCATGATTCAATTCTCTCCTCATTTACAAACTCAACCTCCAGCCCCATGGTATTCTTCAGATCCCCACCACTAAAATTGTTCCACTAGTCAAAAGCGTGCTCAGCTGGGCCGAGGGGTTGTCTAGGGCCCTCTGCCTTCCAGCTAACGAGGGGCAGGACTCTGAGATGGTAATAACCCTGTACCCAGACACAGCCTGCTCTTTTCATTTGGGGACCTCCAAGCACTCTGCACACATGAATTACCAGCATCGTTACGTGCTAGCCAAGGAGTGCCCCCAGTTATTAACTCTTGGAGGGAAACCAAACCAAAGGGGGTGTTAGGGGTGCTGAGAGGACTGGAGTAGTGGTGGGGAGGCGAGGGGCCTCCAGAACTTTAGGCTAGGAATGAGACTAGCAGAGAGGGGTCTCCCAGGGGTCCCTGAGTGGGGAAGTCAAGAGGCCTGCAGAGAAAGTCCAGGGAAGTTAGATGCCGAAAGTTTGTGTTTTGCAGATACCAAGGAGTTAATTCACAGCTTTTAAAAAGCATACATCTGATTATGCCATCTGTCCCTCCAATCTATTTTTATTTTATTTTATTAATTTTTTAGAGGTGAGGTCTTGCCTGGTTGCCCAGGCTGGAGTACAGAGATCACTGCAGTCTCAAACTCCTGGACCCAGGTGATTCTCCTATACCAGCTTCCTGAGTAGCTGGGACTATAGGCATCACCATCATATCTGGCTAATTTTTTATTCTTATTTTTGTAGAGACAAGGTCTCCCTATGCTGCCCAGGCTGGTCTTGAACTCTTGGCTTCAAGTGATCCTCTGGCCTTGGCCTCCATGAGCAATGGGATTATAGGCATGAGCCACCATACCTGGTCCAATCTACCTATCATTTAATGATTTCCCACTGCTTTTAGAATACAATTCAGAGCTTTAACTTGGCAACAAGGCCTGGCATGGCCTGCCTTTTGCCTACCTGTCATGCTGTTCTCGCCCCTGCATACTTTTCAGCGGGCCTTTCATTTCCTGGAAGGTACCATACATGCCCGTGCCAGCCACAGTGGCTCTGAGGAGCTTTGGAATGTTCTCTATTCATGTCTCCACTCACCTGGTAACTCCTAGCCCACTTTAAAGCCTGAAGTTAAACATCAGGCCTCTGCCTGAGTCTCCAACCCTTCCTTTCCATCAGAAATCCTCCCCGCTTTGCACCCTCATTGTACTTACTACAATTTATCATGTGTTGGGGATATCTGCTTCCCCTGCTGGACTGGAAGCTCCATGAGGTGAGCACCACGCTGTGTCTGCCCTGTCTACCCATGCATGTGGATGAGGCATGCATCCCCAGTACCTGGAGGAAGGCCAGGTGCATCCCACATGTAACAATATTCTATGAATGAATGTGGTTGAATGTCAGAGCTGGAAAGGCCATGGTGATAAACCAACCATCCTCTCCACTTCTTCCTACTTCCGTGTCACAGCCAAGGGAGCAGAACTTTGGAGAGGGTAAGAGGTTTCCCTGAGGTCCCACAGTGACTCAGTGACAGTTTGGGCATAGGGATCACTATGTCCTGCCTGTCTGTCTATTCCCCCCACTTCCCACCCAACCACTTGCATTTATAGAAAAACCTCAGTCCCCAGTGCTGGATATTGGCTGTTTCTTCCTCTTGTTGGTTTCGAAGGAACACAAGTTAGGAAGCAAAGCATCAAGCCCTGGATGATTTTTTTTTAATTTGGAAGAGAAGGGGTTCCGCACCCAGAGGGGGTTCCGTACCCACACTGTCGGTGGTGGGCAGTGTGACACGCAACTGGACAGCGAAGCCTGCCATTTAGCAGGCAGCTATCTCCACTTGCGTTTGTGCTTGGGCTCGCTGGCCCCTCCTCTGGGAGCCTGGAGGGTTGGCGAGTCCTGGTAGTTCTGGGTCATGAACTGGGTGCTTGCTTCAGGTTCGCTCAGGTGGAAGCGGTTCAGAAATCTGTCCATTTTCCAAGAGCCTGGAAGGACAAACAGACCACAGGGAGGCAGTGAGAGAGAGCCACGGACTTGAAAGCTGGCAGCGGCCTGAGAGGGAGGCCAATTTAGGGGAGCAGAGGCCAGCAGGTGACATGATGGCCATGTGGTATAGTGGCTGGGGGAGCTTCTGGCTCCTGCCACAGAGGCAGCCCCTGCATGTCAGCAGAGCCACTGAACAGCAGCAAAGTTGCCTGCTCCCCAGAGGGCGGTGGGGACTGAGCCCAGACCGAGTCAAGGATGCCTGAGTTCCCTTCCCCAGCACCTCTGTTTAGCAAAACTCTGCGTTCTCACTCCCGGGCAGAAAGGAAGCCCAATCACGAGGGCTGCCCACTTCCTCCACTCACACCCTCTCCCTGCATGCTCTCCTGACCCCAGGATGGAGGCTTTACTGCTGCCTTCCTTCACACCTGCTCACCCCTGCTGCTGGGGCTGAGATTGGAGGAAGTATCTGTGCTGTTCTTTCAATCTTCTCCCTCAAACCCCAACCACCTTCTCCTCTCTGTCCTAGGACATGGCATGCACCAGAGTGCCTTCCCTGTGGCAAAGGCAGAGGAGCAGCCCCAGGACCCTGGTGGGGGAGCTGGGCCTGCAGAAACCCAGACAATGCCCAGGTCAGAGGGGCTCCTTTTCAGGGGTAGAAAGCACAAGTGTGTACAGGGGGGCATGAGGTACATCTCCCCAGAGTGTGAACAGGCATCATGGGCAAGGTGCGGAGGGCACAACCCGGGGCGTGGAGTGAGGCTGAGGGAGTGGTCAGAGGCACATTCCCACGTTCTTCTTTCCCAAACCCTGGGTGTCAGGCACCCTGGGCAGATGCTTGCCAGGAAAAGGCAGGATGTAGTTCAATTTGAATCTCGGATAAACAGCAAATCGTTTGTTGCTGTGAGCGTGTCCCACATTCTGCATGGAGCATACTTGTGTGGATTTTTTCTTTTCATTGTTTATCTGGAATTCAAATTTTACTGAATTTTATTTCAAATCCTGCTTCTTTGTTGTTTTCTGTTTTTTTGCTAAATCCAGCAACCTCCCTGGGCGGAGAGGGTGCTTGGGGAAGACCCTGTCCAGAGAAGAGCGAGGCAGTGTGGATATTAAGTGGATTAATGGAGATCAGTCATTTCTGATACCCCAACAGAAGAGGGCAGGGGGCTGGCAGCCTAGAATTCCTCTCAGAGCCTCACCTGAGATGCACGGACCACCAACCCTCCCACCTACCTGTCTCATCGGCTAGCACCCACCACCCTTTTCATAGCAATGAAGATAGCAAGCCCATCGAAGCATCCTTCTCTCCCAGAGGCTGCTGGCATTTCAAATACGTTCTTAGGGAGAGGATAATTTTTAATCCAAAACCCAAAATAACAATAACAATAATGCAAATAATCATAATAGCAATAACACCTCAATTTCCATGCTTCTTGTGTGTTGCTACTACTCTAGGAGCTTGACTCATAAATCACTTAATCCTCACCCCAATCCCATCACAGATGGGACGACTGAGGTACGAGGTGGGTACTGGCAAGGAAGCTTCATGGGGTAGGGAGGGAGGAAAGGCCTTTGCAGGTTCTCTCAAATCCTATCTGACACAGTGGCTGCATGCTCAGATGGGGCTCAGAGGGGCTGGAAAACAAGGGGCTCCAGGAGTTCTTTCAGAGAAAGGGTGGCCAAGATGCTGAGAAAGCCTCTCCCGCTGGAGGTGTATTGACTGCAGCTGGGGGTTCTCCTAGGAGGCTTGTCGTCACCTGAGTGACCTTTCAGAGGGTCTGTGCGTGAGCCTCTGCACCCCAGGAGCCCAGCTGGCTGGAAGGAAAGGGATTTTGGTATTATGACCCTGGAAAAGAGTGTGTGCACACACATGTGTATGTGTGGGTGCATCTGTGCGTATGTATGTATGCTGGTGTGTGTGTGTGTGCATGCATGCCAGGGTAATAAGGACTTACGGGTGAATTGGTGTGTGGCAGGAACCTGGACCAGGGGCCTTCCCCACCATAGGGCAGAAAGGAACCTGCATGGCAGGAAGGAAACTGAAACCCTCACGAGGCTAGGGCAAGCTTCGGGGAAGAAATCCCCTGAGTCCAGAGCAAGAGCTGGCTCCCCTTGCTAGTTTGGAAGCCTCTGAACCTGCGGTGCCCTGGGGGCCTTGTGGCTTCTTTCCAGCCCCAAGTCAACAGCCCTGTGATTCTCGGGCTCCCCAGGCAGCTCCTGAAACCCAGGCTCTCGCTACCTCCTATCCTGGCTCGGTGGCGACTCCTCACAGCTCCCCCCCCACCCTCTGTTTCCTGCCACAGAGGGCAAGTTCTAGAAGGCAGAGGGGGTGAGTCAGGCCCTTGGGGTGTGTGGGGAGAGCTGGGGAGCTAGGAAGCTGTGGCTTCCGTGGTCACGGCTCAGAGGAAAGCCCCTTCCTGAACGGCACTGCTGTCCCTGAGAGGCAGAGCGTCGGAGGCCAGGCAGGAAAAGGGCAGTGCCGCTGTCTGTGCTTGGGCTGCTCTGCTGTGCCCTGGATGCACCCAGGCCGGGCTTTTCCTGGGATGAGGGCAGGGGCAGTGCGGGCACCACAGAGGCCTCTGTGGTGGGAGGCCTTGGCTGAAGGGAGAAAGGAAGAGGAAGCTGTCTGATGCCTGTCTCATGAGCCAACTGCCCTGTGGCTGGGACACAGAGGCCTGGGCGTCTCAGGACAGGGCTGCCACATAAGATGTACAGGTTGATCCCTGCACAGCCGTAGGGGGTGCCATTCTCATCCTGCATAGCCAGACCCAGTGGCCCTGCCTAGAGGCCATTCTCCCACTTGCTGGTCAGTCCTGATAGGAAAGATGTTAGCGACAAGAGATGTCAGATACCAGTGATGTTCCAGACAGGACCAAGCGGGGAGCCGGATAACCTCATCTAAAGCCACCGGAGTGTCTGGGCCATAACTGTGTGCCTGGCCTCCTACTAGACTCTAGTGGGGAATGATGTCCCCTGTCTTCAGCAGCTGGGGAAGGGGCTCCTCCTCAAAGTTTTAGTCCCAGGGACTGTGATGATGGCAGGAATGTTTGGGCACGGCCCTGGGGCAGGTCTTGACAGTCACTCTCTCTACCCTCAGCTTCCCCCATCTCCTGGGCTGGCTTTCTACTATTTGGGAGCGGTTTGTCTTGTGCATCTGGATGGCTCCATTGGGCCTGTTAGGGCTAAGCATGCATCTGAGAAACTGAGAGGTGCCCTGCCGAGTCCAGCCAACCCCAGCCCCCTTGCAGGAATTGGTAGAATGGGGAGGTCTGCGGCCTTGCTAGAAGTGCAAGCTCTTAGGTAAGGTCAGACTCCATGTTCAGGGCCCTTTTAGCACTGGCAGCCATCCCCCTGGTCCTTTGCCAGGCATGGGGTTGGTGGAGCTGCCTTATTTCACCTCCTGCCCTCAGTGAGTTTCTAATGTAAAACAAGTAACACTGAACTAATCACAATCTGCTCCTTCGAAGGATGGCTTTGGCCAGCAGTAGAACTTTGTAGTCTGGGTCCCTGGCAGACAAGGTCCCCAGCCCTAGTGACACCCCTGGATTCCCTTCAGCAGGCCCCTTCTTTTCTTTTTTTTTATTTTGGAGACAGGGTCTTGTTATTTTGCCCAGGCTGGGGTGCAGTGGCACGACCACTGCTCACTACAGCCTTGACCTCCCAGGCTCAGGTGATTGATCCTCTCGCCTCAGCCTCCCGAGTAGCTGGAACCACAGTTTTGTGCTACTGCACCTGGTTAATTAAAAAAAATTATTTGTAGAGACAAGGTCTCCCTATGTTGCCCAAGTTGGTCTTAAACTCCTGGCCAAGTGATCCTCCTGCCTGGGACTCCCAAAGTGCTGGGATTACAGGTGTGAGCCATTGTACCCGGCCAGGCTCACTGTTCAGACTTCCCAGCAGTAGAGGATAACACTTCCTGGGTGACCATGCTGTAGCCAAGGGACTGAGCTGTCACTTGGTCCTCAGTGGGCACTGATGTATTTCCCTCTTAGCCTGGGAAGTGGGGTAGGGAGGCTGAGAGAGGGAGCTGTGCCCCCACCCCAGCTCCATTATCCCATGGGTCCCTATTCTGGTGGGCTGGAGAACAGGGAGTGGGTTGCTGAGTCCTTGAGGTTGGAGCTGTAGCAGCCTCTTGTCCCAAAGCAGTCTCAGCAAGGACAGGGGCCACTGGATCTGGCTTGGAACAGCCCTGTCCCTTCAGGTGGTGACCCATATCTACCCAAGGCAGGCACCCTCTTCTCCGGCCTCCCTGCCTCTCCCCGTACACAAGGGCACCACTGCTTCTCGTTGGGGGACAGTGGCCCTGAAGGAAAAAACAAAAACCCAACTCCAGCCTAGTAACTGCCCCGCAGAGAGCCCAGCTCAGGTCTGTAATTTATCTGGCTCGTCGCGGGACTGGCCGCATTGATAGAAGAGCTGATACCTTTCTGCCGAGATTAATGATGTCCTGGCGGTGGTAGGCGGGAGGCCTGAGCCTTTTATTTTTTGTGCCATTAAATGACATCCAGAGACTTCCACTCAGGACCTGAAAAGCCCTCGTTCCATCACATCCAATTACTCTGGGAGGAGATTTGCTGAGTGGCTGATCCTGCCGGCTCCAGAGGCTTTGGGGTAGTGAGGGGCACTTTGACTTTGGCAGGAGAGGACGCGGATGCCAGGAGAGTTTGGGGGTGCTAAGGGGTGACCTGAATCTCCTCTGGAGAGAGGACCAAGGAGGGCTGAACAGGGGAAGCTGGTTCTCATTATCCAGCCAATGCATTCCCAAGGCCTCCTTCTCCCTTCTGTAGCCAAGGGTGGGGCGGGAAAGGGATCAGGAGGATGGGAGACTCCAAGCTGCCAGTTTAGCCCCCAGTCATAAATTCCTATATTCAGTAGTGGCGACAGTTGGCTGGAGTTTTGGATAAAATCTGGGGGCTTATCTGTGGCTTCCCCACGATGTGTTCAGTGTTGCTCGGGATGGCTGATATCTGGCTGGACTGGGACTTGCTTCTTGAGGGGATCT